GCTAAAGCATTGTCCATGTCCTTGTTACTTCAGTGATCTTACCTGATCCCCTGCTCATCAACACCATGCCTTTCCTTGACCAAACAGCTAACGAAGTCAGATGAGGAATACCCGCTAGCCTCCGGGGTGTGCTCTCTGTTAACGTCCCCTGGTTCCTCCCGCCCAGTGCGTACAAACCCGCTTTTCCTACCTGTGTTTCACACCTTGTCTCACAGTGTTTTTCCAGTTGTTGGACTCTAATATTACAGCCATTATGAATATACAACTTTGTTCACTCAAGTCTACTTTATTTCTGTCATACTGCTCTCAAGGTAAGCTGGCAATGTGCCTGGCTTTTCAATAAGTACAAAGTCTCCGCATCTCACATTTAATAGAAAAGCGAGCTGCTTTCTGCACAGTATAGAGGTGATAAAATGATTGCAGCTTAATAAAAACTTATCTGACGTGTGCCTCAGTACAGCCTTCTTTTTGATCAACGTCGTAGATTCCCATTTACACCTTACAAAATACATCTATTAGGCCTAAACCAACGTTCAGTACGTAATGTGCTCCACTTCTGCATGCCTTGACAGGGAAAAGAAAGTAGTGCGCAATGAATTAATACAGTTACGGAACGACTAGTCATGTCTTAAATTACATCTCTGCAGAAGATGATCCACGAGAAAGATCTTGCGACCAGGCTGCAAAGGTCCCGACTCGTACGCCAAGGCAACAGCCCTAGCACATGGACCCTTGTGTGCAGGGCGCCCGGGCGAGCCTCCCGGCCTCGCGTGCAGTGGGGCCCAGCCTGCAGCTTGCGTACGGGGACCCGGCTGGTTCAGGGTTCAGTAGAAATCCGTTCCAGCCCATCTTGTTGCCAAAGATGGGGAAATGCCCCATTTGCCATTTATTCATTACTCAGAGAAACGGATACGCTGCTGGTTTGAAATGGCTCCCTCCCACCCGTCTTTGCTTCTGGAAGCTGCTCAGAAGTGAATTTGGCATTCTGAATGAAGCCAATGGAAACCGCAGTGGTCTGCTTACAATGAAGTCCAAATGAGGGATTCGTTGCATGAGTCAACCAGTGTCTAATCAGTTAGTGAAGCCATGTGTCTTAATGAGAAAAATAGCTACTCCGGGGCAGGCTACTAGTCCTATAATTAACATATTTAATTATACGCTTCCTGTTAATTGGTAATGACTAACTGAACATTAATGTAAGTTGGTTAATAGGACAGAACTGAAAATGTAGGAATCTCATTCTTTAAAAAGCGTGTCTTTTTGCCATAAATGAAACAGCGCTAACACGGAGGTGACCTAGCCCGACTCTCGGGGACAGTACCAGCTACCTGACCACCGACTGCACAGCGCCTTGGCCACGCCAGCACAAGCTAATTCTCGTTACGACAGCACGCACGCGTACATCTTCTCACGGGCAAGTCCAAAGAGCGAGGAGAAAGCACAGATTAGAAACCAAACCATTTAGATTCAGTCCTGCACGCGTTTCTTCCAGATCACGTTGCCTTTCCCTGCACCCACACAAGCAATGCAGGACGCAAAATAAATCTTCCAGCACCTGGTATCTTGCAACACTAAACTTCGGAGATCTGACAGCAAAAGGAAATTGTGAATGCATAGCTTTGCTACCTGGCTTGCAGAAGAAAAACCCCACCTAGGAGCAGGGTGAAGTGCTGCACCTAGGCTCAAACTACAGCACAGTCACAAGGGGCTACAGAGAAGAGGATTCTTTCAGCCAGTGAGTGACAGTGGCTTTCCTTAGAAGGATGGCTCGTGCAAGAAGAATTACTTCTTGCTTTGCTTTTAAGGAAACATTTTCCACACTCGCATTTGGCATTACATCCAAACCAACAAATACCCAGTCTGAGAAAAAAAAAATAAAGAATGAAAAGAACGCTTTCCTTTTACCTGCAGATGTCAAAAATCATAAAACTTTCCTGTAAAAATAAAAAAAAAACCACCAGAGATGAGACTGCCCAAACGTCACAAAGAAATTGCTCAGCAGAGTAACCACCGTTGACACTCTCGCATCGCAATTTTAACTGAGTTAAGAAATAAGGATTCTTCTAATCTACAGCTGATGATGGAGATTCTTCTAATTGTGGCGAGACTATCCAACTCCCATTTAAATGAGAGAACGAAGTAATTCAGCTCAGCAAGACTGAAACTGGAGGCTTGGCTGGGAACAACAAGCAGAGTAGTGTTCTTCAAAATTCTGTTATGTCTTGGACAGAAATTCACGTTTGTTCCTTACTGTCACCGTTCTCGTCGCTCATCGCTCACGTTCTCCCCTCAAAATTTTCCAAATAAATGGTGTTACGACTGTCGGAGCTGAATCCCGCTCTCTTACTGTCCTGCCGTGAAGGAGTTTGCAGGCTGCACGCACATGGCCTCGCGAGCAATCACGATGCCTCTTTCATGGCATTTTGGGGAGAGGACAGGCATCTTTAAGCCCAGCAGAGACGTGGGCTGAGAAAATGTAACAGGGAAGGAGGAAGGAAGAAAGAGATGGGAGAGCAGGAGGAGAAGGAGGAGCCCTCCTCTGCTGCTGCTTGCTTCAAGAATGAGATGAATCTGTTTAATCTCTGGTTTGATGACAGCTTTTGAGGCACTCAGGTTTTTTTCCTTTTCATAAAGAACCCATCACACTGACAGACTGACATTTATGATCTCAGCTGCCTGTGGAAACACCAGTAAGAGCAATAATTAATGAACCCTCAAAACATCACTGCCATCTCCTCTGAAACTATTTTAAAAGGAGCTTCAGCTGTTAAAACCTCTGTCCACGAAGACTTGCACAGTCACAGACAGTAACTATGTAACAGGGATTAACTAAAGTTTCTAGGGATTTTTTTTTCCCCTTCATTATTCCATTTTTAGATGAGGGATTACTTAATTCCCTGGCATGTTGACTATGCGTTAGAAGTTTCATCTAGAGGAAGCTGCCTCAAACAAATCCTTCCTACCACACTTAGCAGAATCATCATTTAAAATCGTCTCCTCTACTTCAAATGAACCTAAAATTAACACAGTTGTTCCAAGCCCCATTTGCTTGTTGACTATTAACGAAGAGACAGAAATTCAAGATTAACTTCTTACGAGCCAAGTGTGACAACTGTGACCACCTCGGTTCCTCCCCGCTGCTGTATAACGCTGTGGGAACAGTTATTCTGAAACTCCAGTATTTACACTGGGATGAACATCTCGTCCCCTCAAGCAATCAAGACCGCATCTCAAAGCCGCGTCAGAAACTTAAGCGTGCACCTCTCTGGAAGCACTCATGCTCATAAGAAATTAATTTCTTTTGTGAATTCACCTCAGTTTTTCCTAAAACTCTACAGAAAGATGTCTCAAAAATTCTCACATAAACCCTTTAGTAACACTTAACTACACAATGTTTTCTAATATCATCGCAGTGATCTCATCACCTCAGCATCACCATTTCACTGATTTATTCCCCCCCATCCCTCGAGTTTAAAAGCAACTGCACTAAAACTCACTGTCCCTAAACAGTGTGGACTGGGGAGACTGTATAGGAATAGCCCCTATGGAACTCAAGTCCTGTCA